ACCAAGAATAATCTGCCTGGGTAGGAGCTGTTAGTGTGAGTTTGACTGATATAGTTAGGTGTGTTGTGTACTTGCAGATTCCAGACCAAATCAGATTAAAAGTTGTTCATAAACTTATTAATTTCTGTTCTCCATCCAGGAAAAACTCTGATGAGGCTGATTTGGTTCCAGCAAAAGAGGCAAATGTCAAGTGTCCCCAGGTGGTTATCTCATTTTATGAGGAACGTCTGACGTGGCATTCATACCCATCTGAAGAGGAAGAAAAGAAGGAGGAAAAGTAATCAAGGGAGAGGGGCGTAAGCAACTCCCATTACAACTTTACAAGACGAGAAAATAATCCCGACTTTTCAGAAAGTGGTTTTCAGTTGTACAGGTGTATAGTTCTCCGGGTGTACCTTTTCTCAATCCTTTCAGACCCATATCATTGTCAGCATTTGAGAGGGGATGGGACAGGTTGTGTTTTTAAATGCAGCATGATTTTTTTTTCCTCCAGATTTTTGGATAACAACTGTAGAAGCCAGTGAATTGTAGATTAGTTACCTTGGCTTGTAGCATAGGGTTTGAATCCTCGAAGGGGAAAGGAGTCTGTAGGGCTGATGTGCCATTTAAACAGTAGCCTCTTTTTAATATGATGTATGATGGTTTTGGTTAAAATTCCTCCCTCTCCTCAGCCTTTTCCTTCACATGCTCCGGATCTGAAGGGCAGCTTGGATAGAATTTATTTGACTTGTCTTGAGATGTGACAACTACTTTAGAAAGCCCTGTGTGGCTGCCTGATGGTTGTAGTTACACCTCTATTGGAGTGGGGTGGAAGAGAGAATTCGGTGGCTCCTACTCATGAGTATCCTGCCATTGTAAGCCTCGCTCCCCTGGGTTTTTTTTTCTTTGCTTTTAAGATAGTGTTTCAGTTATAGTGAAAGACTCCCCTCTTGTTGGCTAGTGCAGGCTGCTCTACAATTGAACAATAAACCTCAATTAGTGAGAAAGGCGTTCTTAAAGGGTCAAATGATGTTGGACAGGATTTCTTAAAGGGTCAAATTCTTGAGGTTGCTGATTGGTGCAAGATTCCAGTCATGTGAAGTAGAGTAACTTGCTGTTCTTGTGGCTTACGCAGTTTTAAATTTGATTTTGATTTTGATTTTGTTTTGTATTAAAGCTCGCTAATTGTTTAACTTCCACTGCCTAGTGACGGAATCTGTGCTCCTGTCCTGGATTCTGGGAGGACAATGCCGCAGTGTAGCACAGACAGAACTGCAAAAAGACCTAGCAGTTTGCAGCATTGGGACAAGGAGACGTTTGTTTTTTGGATGCATGCCATTTTTATTTTCTATTTTTGTGGTCAGGTAGAGGTTTACTTCGGAAGCATTATCCCAACAGCTTCACTGTGCCTTCCCTACTTATATTGCATGGCCACCTGGTTATGATGGTGCAGGTTGAGATTCCAACTACCATATCCCAGTGCAGCACCATATTCTCCACTGTCTTGCCATCGCTGGACCAGTGACCTTTGAAGATATGAATTGTAGTGCTCTTGTAATTCCATCTTTATTTCCAGACAGCTGTGTAAAGCATGGCACCTTGTGGCCAGTGCTCATCTAATTCATTCCCCACCTGAGGAGCACGAGTAGGTACTAGGTGTAATTATCGCTCTGGGAGTGTTTGGTGGATAGCCCCAGGAACTCTTAAGTTTATTTGGTCCCAGTATACCATTTTATTATTGACTCAGTTGTTTGATTGGTGAAACCTCTCACTGAACCATTATTTTATCTGTTCAACCCATTTGGGAGGAGAGGGAAGTTGTGTAGCAAATACACATGTGCATCACTGATTTACATCTGCTCCTTTGCCTAGCAACTGGGGGTGGGCATGGATGTGGCTTTACCTGCCCAAGTCACAAATCAAACCAAAAAAAACTACCTTTTAAAAATTCCCCTGTAGAATTGTGATTCTTGAGAGTACTGGCTGTGTTTTGTCTATCGGGGGAGGGTTTTGGGGGAGGGTTTTGGGGGCGGGGTGGGGGGAGGGGAAGAGAAGAGTATGCGGTCTCATTATAATTCACGTACCGTAGACCTGGAAAAGGGAGGTGGCTGTTGTTTCCATGATGGCCTCTTCCCAACTGGCTGCAACATCAGAATCCAAGAGTGTCCAAATGCAGGAAAAGTATTGCTTTAACAAAGTGTTTGTGTAACTGGAGTAAGACTGATTATGTTCTCATTAGTAATCTTTTTAAACGTGATGCGGGGAGGGAGGGTGGGGGGCAGTAGGGAAATGATGTGGGTATGTTTGAGGTATTTGTGGAAGGAAAAATACAAGCATGGAAACTAAAGTATTAGTGCCACTTTCCTAGTTTTCATACATTGCAGCTCTTCTGTCTGATTCACATTTAATCATCAAATGTTGTCTTTTAGAGGGGGAGAACTGATTTTAGCTGGTTTTAAAGGATCTGTTTTTGTAGAATTCCTATTAAGTATTGTGATAACTGCTCCTGCAACATTACACCCTGTGTGTTGTTTAACAGGAACGCAAATATTGTGTAATAAAACAGGAAAAACACAATTGTATGAATTTTTTTTAATAACTGGACAGCATTAATTGAAATGCAGAATGCTCGTGATACATGGCCAGCAACAGTAGACAGAGTCATAGTCACAGAGCACAGAAGAGGCCCTTCAGCCCATTAATTCTGCACCAACGTATCTACACTAATTTCAATTTCCAGCACTTAACGTCATAATATTCCAGGGTATGGGCTAAGTGATCATCCAGATTCCTACCTCTATCCGGACAAAAAACATTTTCGTCCAATTCCCTCTAAACCTCCTTCCTTTCCCCTTTAAATTTACATCCTCTTGTTATTGATCCTTCAACGGAGAGAAACAGCTGCTTCCTATCTATCCTGCTGATGGGTCTCAATCTTTTACACAGCAATTGTGTTCTCTCATCTGCTCTAAAGAAAATAACCTAAGCTTATCCAACCTCTCTTTACAACAACAAAAAAATTTTCCAATCTGGACAAACATCCTATGAATCTTTAGTGTGGTGAACAGAATGGCACACAGTATTCCAGCTCTGGCCTATACCAGTTTTGTACAACTCCAATAGTGACCTCGATAGAACAAAATGTGGAGCTGGAGGAACACAGCAGGCTAGGCAGCATCAGAGCAGGAAAGCGGACACTTTGGGTCAGGACCCTTCTTCCCTGCTGTGTTCCTCTAGCTCCCCACTGTTGCCTCTGACTCCAGCATCTGCAGTTCTTGCTATCTCTCCAATATGACCTGACTGCTTATGTAATCTACACCACCCTGATAAAGGTAACTATCCCATTTGTCATCTTAACCACCCTAATAACTGGTCCTTCTACCTTCACGGACACAAACAAGCACCCAGAGATTCGAGCTTCCTACTGTTTGGCCGTTCATTTAGAGCTAAATTCCATCTGACCAATCCCTTTATATCCTGTAACTTTAGAGCTTCTGCCTCACTATTAACCACACATCCATTCATCCACAAACTTGAACAGTTACAGGTTTCAGGTCAGTCACCCTGAAAGTTTTCTCAGCCCTTTTTGCTTTCGTTAAATTGCTGAGGGTTGGTGAAATTGAGAGGCCTTGACTGAGTAGAGCATATTATCTCTTAATTATGGATAATGTTAAAACAGACAAAAACTCCCCCCTACAGATGACTTTTTTTTTAAAAAGTAGTGAATGGAGGACTGGGCCAATATGGAAAGATTTGACCTAACACGAAGGAAGATTGTGGAGATGTTAAACTAATGATAACAGGATCAAGACAGCCAAGGAGATTTTATTCCCCCCATAAACATTTTGAGTACAGACCAAGCCTCGATCACTCATTTTACAGATCAGAAGATGATCCTCACCTGAAATGTCCAAGATGGTTTGCAACTGAATACTGATGCAGAAGCAAAGGGAATGTGTGTTCAATAGCAGGATGTTTCCATACTCATGTTTGACCTGATGTGGGAGACTTTATGGGAGCATAAGTCATTGTTCAGGCTTCCTAGGGGAACACCTACATGACTTAGGTCATCTTACATTGATGCTTCTGGACTGAATTCTGTCAACATATAGCCTAAGTTTTGAAGGACTCCCAAGTGTGTGTTTCATCTCCCAACCCACCCACCCATCAGCACACATGGGATTGCTGAAAAGTGGCTTAGACTCCAACTGGGTTACACCTACCATTCATTTAAAAGGCCTCCACCATTTGGCCTGACTCGGAAATAACCAGGATAGATTTTTGCAAAGTACACTTGGCAATGTTGAAAAGCAGATGATGTCAAGACAGAGCTTTTTCAATTGAGAACTATTGGACAAAACAAAGACTATCGTCTTATGAGGAACCCTATCATTAATAGGTAAAATAGAAGAATAAGCAGGACTTTATTGTGTAGTCAAAATAAATGGGCAGGACTGTGCTGCCACCTCTGGTAGGATGGTGAGAAAAGCATCTGCACTTTATTATCCAGTTTCAAAGAAACGATCACTTAATTCCAAAGAGAGCAGGTGCAAAACTTTATCACCAATCCAGAAACACAGACTACCAAAACCTTGAGGTAGAGATGAACATCTTTCTTTTTGTCTCCATTCACCTTGAAGAAAGTAGATTTCACGGGGGGCAGTACAATTAAGATGCAAGCAGTTTGGGACTATGAGAAATTTTGTCGTGTAGAGAATAGTTAATCATTGGAATTTTCTATCCCAAAGCAGTTTTAAACTCAGATGTTCAGTATATTTATGATATAGATTGATAAGATTTCAGTGCTAATGATGTCAGGCAATATGGGATAGTGTGAGGAAAATGGTATCTAAAGGTAAAGGATCAGCCATGATTTAGAACAGCAGAGGAAGTACAAAAGGCTGATTGGCCAACTCTGTTCCAAATGTTCCTAACATCAACACCACACCTGGTAGAATTACTTACACATTTGTCCATCAAGGGTTTAAATAAATAAAAAAATAGTTAGCCTGGGAAACATGTGAAAATAGAATTAATTTATTGAATTTCCCTCCCCAAACAATCCTGGTTTGCTGCAAGTTTTCATGTAAAGAAAAATATACAACAGATTTGAGAGATTCCCTGCCAAGCCAAGAGAAAAAGACATTTGTTATAGGCAACATTAGATATCTGCACAAATCTGACAGGAAACAAACAATTAAATAGAAGAGAGACTCCATCATCTATAACTTAACATAAATAAGTACAAAAAACAAAAAAAAAGATAACTGGTTATTCTGCAGAGGCTGGTGATAAGTTTATACACAACTGAAGGAAACAATCTCACACATAGCTGGGAGTACAAGGCTCCTCAGTAATCTGTTCTGAGCAAACGTTGAGTAGGTGCTATTAGAAACCACCTCAGAACTAACCAGATGTGCAGAGTCAGCTTTAGCCATGATTTCAGTTTCTAGAAACACTGCCCCTGTTCTTTGGCAATCGACACCTGGGAACGATGGCAGACCAATGTCCCTGGGCACTGAAATTTGGAACGGTATGATCAGAGAATATACTAATTTTAACAGACAGGCTTGACACACCTCATGCCAGTTTATGACCTCTCAGCGCAATTTAGAGCATTCAAAACCTCGATTATTTCATTTTTAAGCAAATGGGAACATGTAAAGGATTAGAAATCTGCTTTAGCTCCAAAGTAAATGCTGGCAGTGTTTTAGAATGCAGACCAACAGGCAGAATGCAGCAACATGGTTGTCATCTTGTCTGCATCTCTTCAGGTACTGAATCTGTGTTTGAAATTTTGAGCTTCATTCAGCCTTTGTTTGCAAGAATTGAGAACTTGCCTATCCACTGACTGTATTGTTCTGCTAAAAAAAAAATTAGCACAGTCAACTTAATATGGACGTTGCTGTCCCAAATTAAACACCTGCCTTATGGAAAACCAGACACCAAACAGTCAAAAACCTAGAGGAAGTTGTCTACAATACTTAGCAACTCATACAGAAAAACAGAAATTGTTGAAGAAACTCAGCAGGTCTGGCAGCATCTGTGGAGAGAGAGAAACACAATTAACATTTCAAGTCCAGCAACCCTTCTTCAGAGGAAGAATCTGAAGAAGGGCTGCTGAACTTGAAATGTTAATTGTGATTCTCTATCTCCTTAGATGCTGCCAGACCTGCTGAGTTTCTCCAGCAATTTGTTTTTCTTTCAGATCTTCAAAGTTCCTTCTTCTATTTTAGCAATTCCAATGTTAAGTTGGTTAAAGTCATGATGTCTTTAAGGGGAAGCTAAAAATATTGAGGGAGAAATGAATTGAAGGATATGATGAAAGGTGAAATTAGAAGAACTTGGATTGAGCATAAACCCTGGCATGGATCAGTTTCTGAGCAGTACATTCTATGCAACTCCATAAAATGCAGCAGGGATTTTAACCTGTGCACTATGCTCAATCTTGCAGCAGCCTGACAACACCAAAGACTGTGCAACACATCAGGCACGAACAGGATATGGGGAAAATTGACCTTCAGTTTGGTATTGCATTGCCAATTCTTAATGGACATGTTCCAGTTCAATTACAGCTGTCCATCTCCTCTGCCAAAGGGTCAGAACTTGTTTCCCAGTGTGAGCTCTCTTGTTAAATATGTCTCTAACTCACGGGTTTTGAGAGACAAACTGCATTCAGGGAAGAAAAATGCAGTGCATGTAAAATTTAACATAGCAGCAGTAGAGGGAGCCAGAGTCTGACTAAAAAAGGTCCCAGCTGCAAACTTCAGGTAAAGCTGCAACAGTTATGTTGTAAAACACCCACTGCAGTATTAGACGCAGCTCAGGACTATCAGATACCAACACATCCTGGCTCTGACTAATTACATCCCGACCACAGGGGCCGAAGGACTGAGCACTTTGTGCAACGCATCTTACTCAAGAATCAAGAGATCACTTGAAATTAGCTGTAATTAAAATGCAAAGTCACACCTGGTATGTTCCCTGTAAAGATAAATGTTGGTTATGAACTTCAAATCTATTTATCTTTTATTCAGGCACAAATTAAGGGGAGGTTATGTTAGAAATTAATTACTGAACATGGAGTAAACTAACAAGTTAATGGAAAACTGCAGCATCACCTGACCCAGGATCTTGTCAGCATTTCTTGAGATCCACTGGATTTATCCACTGGATAAATGTTGGAATCAGGTGGAGGATGCCACTTCTATTAATGTCTGCCTATTGTTCACAAGTCTCCTTTCTTACTGCTTACCCTGCTAAAGTGAAGGACGAGTTGAATCTTGACATTCAGAGTGTTTTGGATGTTTACTGCATCACAACTGATCATGCCATGCAGGAAATGTAGGGCCAGTGAGATTATATAAATGGTTCAGTCAATACCAGAGGTTGGGCGCATCATCTGCCAACATACAGGGAGTTGTAGCCAACCTGTCTGAAGATTATAGGTTTCTGTATTTGGAGTATGATTAACATGAGCTGCAGCCAAAAGCTGGTTCTTAAAAATCTCCACACTAGCCACCAGTCAGAAAGGTCAGAATGCAGTGCTTACTCACCATCTTCACAGAAATAGTCACCTTTCGAGGTGCAAGGTGACAGGATTCAGGTCAAACATGCAACCAAAATATCCCCAACACACACACACGCACACATCCTGCAGACTCTCAGTATCCTTTTGTTGTGAATGAACCATTTTACTCATCTCCAATTCCAATCGATAAACCATGGAAATGATCCGAGAACACTTCTCATTTTCTGCGTTCTCTAAATCACCATGATGTTACACAACCCTGAGCTAGTTAGTTTGATAACAGTTTGTGATCAAAAGTGTAAAATGTTTTCCACTCTGCAAAGCAATAATAACTCCAACCTGAACTATCTTCCTTGACTAACAATTTCAGATTGAACTGCGCTCAGATTTCCTAGGCCTTTGATAAGTCTGAAAGCTCTTTGAACACCTTTCCCCCTTTATACAGAGTGCGTCTTGCATTAGGGATAGTATTCCATTTATTTTACCCTCCATTAAAACAGCAGAGGTTTTCAACACAGAATGGTGTTAGCATTCATTCCAATTAAACTGCAAGTGCCAGGATATAAAATCGAGGACGACAAATATCCTGACCAAGCATGTTCGTAAAATCTGCACTAACCATCTGATTTCTGCTTCAGAGCTAATCTAGTATAGAAAGTCCCCCATCCCCACTCTAAACCCAACATACTACATTTCAAAAACATGTACTGACTAAATCATCAAAAATGGTGTGCTTCAGTCTTGCAGATCCCCATGTAGTGACCTCCTGAGCACAGCAGGACTACGAGTCTATCAGCCTTGGCTGATAGACCAGGCACAAAAAATAAAAGAAAGCAGGCGAAGGAGGGAAAGGCTGGGATTTAGAGGCACACATGAAGCAGCAACCCGTCAATAGATTATATATTGCACCAAGAATCCATAAAGGAAGAGCTGCACTCAATGCTTTTGGTGCACAAAAAAATGGGGATCTGGAGACACCAAATAGCCCATTAAATCACAGCACTGAGTGGAGGAAAGGGAACAGTAGAGGGTCCCTCAAAGATCTCCAGATTTCACTAACTATATAGGGAAAACAAAGGATAGCCCCAATGCTCTTCAGCATAATTTTATTCGGTCTTTGAGAAAGCTCTAAGAACCATCTCTTTTTCCATGCCCCTTCCCCCATCTCCAGCTAACACTCTGCCTCCCTCCTTCCATACAGGCAGCAGAAAATATCTGATGTTGGGAAGGAGTTGGAGGAGGGCAGTGAGAACAAATTCATCTCACTTAGTGTATCACATTGAAAATCTGGGTGGCCACATGGTTTCCTGTTCACGATACTCCTGTAATATTCTTTGTTCTGTTTAATAACCTGCACCATAGCTGCATCACACATTAGCAAGTAACCAACTGCCTTAGGTCTCAAATCCTAATTGTCAATTGCCCCATCTAATCAGGGTGAACTTAGGAATTGTGGAGGGGTGGGCTGTAGCTGACGGATCAAATGCAGCAACAACTGCCTGGGCCCCACCTCAATTCAAATTTCATAATAGCCTCTTCCGGAAAGGAATTACGGGCATTTCCATCCAGCTGCCCCAGACTGTATGGAGTGCAAGGCAATCAGGGTTAGGGTGTAGTGTGTTTGATATAAATAAGACTAAATTTGCAAGGCTCGAGTTCTGCACTTAATAAACATAGCCATTGCATGAGGGCTTGAAGTGGATTGTCTCTTCAAATCGTGCCAGAAATTTACCACTTGGCAAAAATGTCTGCAGAGCAAGGTCATGCTAGGAATGGCAGGCCAGAGACTCGGCAAGTAGCAGTGTCTCAGACAGGAAATGGTCTTTATGAAACTGCACCTTGTCTATACAACCCCTAATCAGTAACCTTTACCCCCTTGATTTCAAAACACATGCTTTGAAGTTGTCTTAAAGCTGTTAAGTGAAAAATGCCTGTGAACAAACACCCTTGGTTCACCCATCACATCCTTAGTTTGTTTTTAAAAAAAGGGAAATATTCAAGTAACAACTGAACTCAGTTTCTTGCTTGTGTTTGTAAACTGTGTGTGAAGCAGAGAGGCTTTTAAACAAAAAAAAACCTTATTGATTTTGCCAAGCAGTTTGTTACCCACAGCCAGGGTGTCTCAATCAGAGAGACAACAGCTAAATCAAACTCTTCCACCCCTCCCTCCAACCAGACACGCAAGTGCATACACCTGCCCATCCCAATAGGGTCACAACAGGAATGGAAAGACACTTGTTGATTCTTAAGCTGTGGTCAAAATCAAACTACCAACTCAATCCATACAGCCCTGTCACTGACCCTCCTGGGTTACTGTTCCATCCTAACTGACCTGCAGGTGTCAGATTTGCAAGATATTTTCAAATATGAGAAGGTGCGAATTGTCAGTTGTCTATTTGTAAAAGCAGCAGCTTTCTGGAGGCGCTGCCTCTCGCTGAGTTCCTTCCTCTAGTTCAGTTGAAAGCCAGACACCAGGGCTGGCTGCAGATTTCATTTCTTCTTATTGTTCTTCTTCTTATCTGATTTTCCTTGCTGAGCGATCAGAGCCCGAGGCATGATGAGCACACTGCCATCATTGGTGTATTGCAGGGAGTACTGGCTTGGGCAGTAAGGCCTTCCCTCCTCGTCCCGCAAGCGGCCAAAGACCTGCTGGTAAAGCTCCTGCAGCTTCTGCTTCATCTGCCGTAAGGACTTGACAAATTCCACCTTCTCCTTCAGCAGCCTGGCCTTCTGCTTCTTCAGGTGATCCACATCGTGGTCCAGATTCAGGATGGTGTCGAGCTTCCTCTTACGGCAGTTCTGAGCCGCCAGTTTGTTTTTCCCACGGCGCCTGATGTCACGGATTAGAGTCAGCTGGGCATCAGTGAGTTGATACTTGGATAGAAGCTCATTAAACTCGTCAACGGGCAAATTGATGATTTTGTCATTGGAGAACGGGATCTTCAGTGCCCTGGCCCGACGCTCGTCACGGCCCATGTGTATATCCACGCGATTGGAATGAGTTTCTTTTATTGGCGCTTTCTTTCCAGGGCCAGGGTGATACTGTTGACTGGAGACAGATGGTCCAGCTGGCAGGTTATAAGTGTGGTTGTGGTTGACTTGATCTAAGTAAGGCAGCGAGTGGAAACAGTTCGGATTCTGGTAACTCATTCGGCAGAACTTGCTGTATTCTGGTTGATAACCTCCCACCGCACCCTCTCTTTCAAGTTCTTCAGAGTCCGCAGTTTCTGAATCAGTGCTGTATCCAACTGCCCCTTCCTGGTAAAACGAAGAGGAGGAGGAGGAGGAAGAAGAGGAAGAGCAGGAGGTTGAGGATTCAGAGCTGCTCGGAGATACAGGGCTGTGACTTGAATCAAGGGAGAGGCCAGAATCAGAGTCCAGCTCCTCCTCAATCTGTGAGGCCTCCATCGGATCAAATCCTTCTTCCATGGCCAGGTCCATAAAGCTGATCTCATCAAGCATCGCCTCATCTAGCAGGCCAGACAGAGGGTCCGGGAAGCTGGAGCCAGAAGTCTCATTGCTAGTCCCGTTAATCCGAGGAGGAAAGAACATCCCTGTGAAATTGGTGGAACCAAAGGCGGCATCAAAGTTGGTGGAGTTGGTGGCTGCCAGTTGTTGGAGACTGGGACCACCATCCACAGAAGGGTTCTCCAAGTTTGAATTGAAGAAGGGAGGGAAGTCCTGGCCACAAGGAGGCAAGGTGGCATTGTGCAGACTCACATCTTGATTGATGGCTGTGACAGGAGTTTGGTTATAATTTGTGGGCACATCAGCACTGCCGCTCCCAGAGTCATTACTATATGCAGATGTTGTACTGTCAGTCACCTCCATGTCCTGCAAAGGAGGATCAAAAGTTGATTTTAAAAGTTGGCTACACATTTATAGTACTCATGATGAGCACAAACTCAGGAACCAGTCATCATGCCTCTATCAGCTGTACTCAGTTTCTGGTGACCAACTGTAAAATAGTTGATGTAATCAGGAGTACGAGTGAAGAACGAACCCAGACATTTGATCTTTTAATTTGCTTCCTTTAGTTCTGGTCGAAGCATTCAACTTTAGTCCAGAAACGCCCCTGGAGAAGTCTCATCAAAACATTCTGCAGTAAATCCAACAATGCAAATTTAACTATCCCCTCTACCCCAGAAGACACTAACTCAGAGTCATACAGTCAGAGATATACACCACAGAAACACACCCTTCAGTCCAACTCGTCCATGCCGACCAGATATGCTATATAAATCTAGTCCCATTTGCCAGCATCTGACCCATATCCCTCTAAACCTTTCCTATTCATATACCCCTCCAGATGCCTTTTAAATCCTGTAATTGTACCAGCCTCCACCACTTCCTCTGGCAACTCATTCCATACACGCACCACCGTCTGAATGAAAAAATTACCCCTTCGGTCTCTCTTAAATCTTCCCCTCTCACCTTAAACCTATCCCCTCTAGTTTTGGACTGTCCCACCCTGGAAAAAAGACCTTGCCTATTTATCCTATCCGTACCCCTCAATTTTATAAACATTTATAAGGTTACCCCTCAGCTTCCGTGGCTTTGGGAAGACAATCCCAGCCTAGTCAGCCTCTCTCTATAGCTCAAACCCTCCAAAGCTGGCAACATTCTCAAATCTTTTCTGAACCCTTTCTAGTTTCACAACATCCTTGTATAGCAGGGAGACCAGAACTGCATGCAACACTCCAAAGGTGACCGAACCAAAGTCTTGTACAGCCACAACATGACCTCCCAACTCCTATACTAAATGCACTGACCAATAAAGGCAACCATACCAAATGTTGTCTTCACTATTCTATCTACCTGCGCCTCTACTTTCAAGGAACTATGAACCTGCACTCCAAGGTGTCTTTGTTCAGCAACACTTCTCAGGACCTTAGTAATAAGTCCTGGCCTGGTTTGCCTTTCCAAAAATGCAGCACCTAACATTTACCTAAATTAAACTCCATCTGCCACTCCTAGGCCCATTGGTCCATCTGATCAAGATCCCATTGTACTGAGGTAATCTTCTTCGCTGTCCACTAAACCTCCAATTTTAGTGTCATCTGCAAACTTACTAACCATACCTCCTATGTTCACATCCATATCATTTATATAAATGACAAAAAGCAGTGGACCCAAATCTGATCCTTGTGGCACACCACTGGTCACAGGCCTCCAGTCTGAAAAGCAACCCTCCCCCACCACCCTCTGTCTTCTACCTCTGAGCCAGTTCTATATCCAAATAGTTAGTTCTCCCTGAATTCCATGTGATCTAACCTTGCTAACCAGTCTACCATGAGGAATCTTGTCAAACACCTTATTTCCATATAGATCATATCCACCACTCTGCCCTCATCAATCCTCTTCATTACTCCTTCAAAAATAAACTGCATTTGGATGGTTCCATGAGCATTTGTGTGTCCCCCAATACCTGGCCCAAATCCTCTAAGTACAAGCCAATATCATGAGTGTTGACGGGTTGCGAGACCATCAGTTTTCAGCTCAAACTGGCCTCATGCAACACACATGCACGAATGAGTAGACATCACTCAAGCAAAAATTCCCTATTCCAAGGGGCATCAAGATCAATATTCACTCTTCATTTGCATTAGCCAACTTAGGATAGACAATCTTGGTTGTACCTCACTTGGTTACACATTTTATTCACAAAGCCACAGGCAGTTCATAGTGTACACAGTCTTGCACAAACAGGCAGAATGTGGTGAGGGTATGAATTGTACGGAGCTTTCTGCACCAGACACCAACTTGAAGCACCTGTACCTGCACACACTGGTGCAGAGCAAACAAACCAGGCACACAGTTCCGAACATGCTCACCTGTAGCTCCATGAGGGACAGGAGATCCTGCCACTGTTGTTCTAAATCTAAAGGAGTCTCTGGCCTCAAGAGAGGTGGAAGAAGGGTCATCTGCGAGCCTGCAGTCAGGCTGTCGCTGGTGCTGGGCACAGCATTGTCTATGGCCTCATTCAGCACTGAGGACACGGCTTCTGGAAACTGATAACAGAAGACATGAAATTCAGTCATGTGCTGTGCCCCATCACTGTAGCTCAGGGTGTTCCTACGTAGAAGGCTTACAGAGTGTAAAACAGCTGCCTGAATGGCAGATGCTGGATTGGAAACCATTAGTCACTTTGCTCAAGGATTTACTGCATTCACCACAGTAAAAAAGCATCTGCTCTGCATCTCCCAGGCTCAGGTTTATGATCATAGCCAGCTTAGCATCATGTTACATCACGGAATCCACCTCTGGCTATGTAACTAGAGTCTAATGCAAGGATTAAAGCTATGCTTTGCTGAATACAATTTACATGGTGTTCACTGCCTCAGTGAGAGCTTAGCCGAAAGACGCAGTGTCACAGCACTCATCTAGATGCAGCACATCAGTGGACCCAACTAAAAACAGGATCCCAGGGGGTTTTGGCTCCATTATCTGGAAATTGGGTGTTCATCACTGGCAAACCCCCAGTGCCCGTTCTCATTTTGCTCCAACTAGCCAGCGCTCCCAACCCCAGCAATTGACAGCTAACACTTCTCTCACTATCATGGTCACACAGTAGTGTTCTGGATTAAACGTTCTCAGTATTTGCCATGGCAGTTACTAGTGATGCCACCTATCTCCTAATGCCAATTAACATCAAGGTTTCTTCAGATTTGCCTCACTAATCAACTGGATGATGCCTCTTGGCACTGTGTCCAACCGCCAATCCCTGGTCTTAATCACTGAGACAGCGTAATGCTTATAGTTCCCAATCCTAGACTCCCCCACCCCCCCACCCCTCACCACCCACCGCGCCCGCGCCCCCCCACCCCCCCCCCCAACCAAAAGAAGCTCTTCCTGTTCATCTGTCCTATCATAACCCTAAAATCACTCCCTTAATCTTCTGAACTCAGGAATACAACCCAATTTGCAGATCCCAGCTCCATCCAAAGACCAGATACAATTTTCACGAGGAGTTCCACTCCTGGACAGGGCAGCTTTATTGTTGCCATCAAGTATCTACTTCATGAAAAATAAGACCAGAATCACCACCTGCCCTGGGGGAGCATTTGAGGCACACTGGTATATGGTTCTAGGTTAAACCCAAACAAATGACATCACTGTAATTCGCTCACTCACCTCCGAATCCTCCCCAAATGAGAATGTTTCATCCAGAAGCCTCAAGCATTCCTCAAAGGAAGGTGCAGTCTGCTCTGTCAACTCTGGCACCTGAGAAATAAAAACGCTGAATCTGATTAGCTTCAGTCAACACAGGGGTTAATACTGCCTCTCAATGTCACAGCAAGCACATAAGGCAGTTTTGAGATGTCAAGTTAAACAGATGATCAAAATATAGGCAAATGAATGGAGCAATGTTGGCAGCATTAGTACCGATTGGCTTTCTTACTAAAGGAAGTTTCCTTAAAGTTAAATAAAACTATTTGGCAAAAAAGTGAGCCTACTGATCTGGGCTGGATATTGGATGGGAAACAGAAAGACAGAGACAAAGAGAGAAAGAAAGAAAAAAAAAGTTGGGATAATGACTGGGAGGATTACTGTGCTGGAGCCTCAATTTTACACCATATTTAAAACTTTGGATGAAGATTTTCCTAAATTGAATGACAACATTAAAATAGTGTAGGCTAGACAGGAATAGAAAATTGCAAAGCATGCTTGCAATTTAACTGAGCAAAACTATGTAAGAGGCAACGTTTAATGCTGACAAAATTTAAAGCATTGAATTCTTTGAAGTGGTTAGAACCAGGGAAAGGGAAGACTGTAGTTCAGCATATAGTGAGAAGCTGAAAGGTCCATTACGGTGCTGAAAATGTTATGCAAATGAGAGATCATCCACTAAGGATGAAAGAAAAAAAAAAATTGGAGAATTGTATAAATGATGAGAAGCTAGCCACTGTCCAACAGTTTTCTTAAAATCTTGCATTCATTCATTCACGGTGCATTTTATGAAGAACTTCTTTGCATTATTTCCAAATATTAGATCCAGCAAACTCAGAGTCTCACTCCAAACAAAAAGATTTCCTCAATCTTATTTTCTAGGACATGAATGCCCTCTCTCTTTTCCATGCTGTGTGCAAATGGCTACTTTGTCTAAGTTGCAAAGTTAGTTAGTGACAAAGGCTCACTGGACTCAACATTAACACTTTTTCTCTCTACAGATGCTGCCAGACCTGCTGATTTTTTCCAGCATTTTGTTTTTGTTAAAGAGTTATATAACAATGTTACATCTATGTTAGGCAAGTAAGCAACCTAAGCATCTAGCAACCAATGATAAAGGCCAGAACACACCAATGGGCACTAGCAACAAACCAAGTCAGTCTCATTTTGTGCATTTATGCAACTTTTGAAAATCATTATTGCTATTCATTTTGTCATCAAGTATTTTTTAAAAATGAGATCATGTTGCAACAAAATGTGCCCATATTCAGCTACATTCCTATTATTTCAGAGGACAGTCCAGCTCATTCAAATCCGTGTCCTAATGCAACAAATACTGAAAAAAAAAAAGGTGTTGTAACCTTTGGTAATCAAATATCAGTTAAAGTTAACTGATTGATCATCAACCACACTTTACAAGAGGAGAATTCTAAAGTTGTACTGCTTTATGAAGTCAATGTACTTCCGAATTTCATTCAAAGGTCTGGATATAACCTTCAGGCTACATTCCCTTGACTTGTACTCCCAATCAGCAGAAATACTCTCTCTCCTTCCTGCTCCTAACATATTAAAACCTTTATCCATTCACCTTAATTTTCTAAACTCCAGCAAATTCAACCACAGCTTGTCATCGTTCTTTGTAATGTAATCTTTGGAGCCCAGGTATCATTCTGGTAAACCAGCACTGCATTCCTTTCAAGGCCAATACCATTTTAGAAGGTATTCCTTAAAAGAGGATTGGTTTGCTACAAGAGTAGGGATTAACTGGATGGTTTTTGGGTTGGCAAAGTAGTTGGAACAAGTAGTGGAATCCCACAGCGATCAGAGATGGGAGCCTCAATGATTTACAATCTATATCAACAACTTGGATACAGAGACTGAATGTGTACAGTGACTATATCTGCCAATGACACCAAGATAGGCAAGAAAGGAAGTTGTCAAGAGGAAATAAATTGTGTAAGTATGCAAAACATTGACAGATGGGAGTAAAGTGTGTTAAAAATGTGTATTCTCCACTTTGGCAGAACGAATAAAAGCAGACTTGTACTCTCTCTAGTGAGTGCTGCGTTCCAAGTTCTGATGTAAACATTTCCCTTTCCTATTCTGGATTATACAACGCGAATCAACAAAGGATCTGCAATTTTTATCAATGTCATTCAGTGCTGCACAGGATAATACCTTATTCATTAGGGCAGGCAAATAACTGCGCAGTTGTGCAATGTTATAGAATTAATGATTTTAAAAGTCTGCAGCATGGATACAGAGGTAACATATACTCAAATGGCTGGATGAATGAGGTAGGAGCTCTGGTATCAACAGCCACAAAGTCTATCCTCAAGCAGCTTAAAACACCAATGCTGCTCACACAAATTAGACATGAGCTTTCCCAAGTTAAACTGGGTAGGAACAACCTGACCATTCAGCCCTTTACTCTGTAAGATTGAGATGTAGGAGCAGAAGTAGGCCATTCTGCCATTCAATGAGATCATGACTGATTTGATAATCCTCAAATTCAGTGTCTTGACTTTTCCCCATAACCCTCAACTCCTTTATAAAATCTCTCTACAACAGCCTTGAAAATACTTAATAACCCAGCTCTACAGTTGTCCGTGGGAAAGAATTACACGGGTTCTGTCATCCTCACCACTTGACTTTCTACCTGTTTTTGTGTCAACCACAAGCTTGGCGATAATACATTTACTTCTTCTTCCAAATCATTTATACATTGTAAATAATTGTGGATCTAGAACCGATCCCTGCGGCAGAACACTTGTTTCAGGTTGTGATCCTGCAAGTGTCCCCTTACCCCAACTCGCTGTTTTCCATTCGTTAGCCAATCCTTTATCCATGCTAATGCACTATCCCCAAAAAACCACGTGCTCTTATCTTAAGTCGCCTGATGTGCAGTACCTTATCAAATGCTTTTTCGGAAATCCAAAATTTTATTACATCCCCTCATTCCCCTTTATCTATCCTGCTTGACACCACCTCAAACAATTCTAATAAATTTGTCAGGCATGATTTCCTCTTCAAGAAGCCATGCTGGCTCTGCTTGATTAGATTATCGATATTTAAATGTTTTGTTACATCCTTTATAACAATCTAACATTTTCCCAACATCAGATGTTAAGCTAACTGGCCTATAGTTGCTCATCCTTTTTGTTCCCTTCCCTTTTTGAATAAAGGTGTTAACATCAGTAGTTCTCCAATTCTTTGGCACATTTGAGAATCTAAGGATTCTCAAAAGTTTACTAACAATACATCCACCATCTTACCATCTCCTGATTCCCCATTTCCCCAGCCTCCTTCTTCAAGGGGACTATATTCACTTTAGCCTCAATTGTTTTTCACCTATTTCAAAGAAGCTTTTATTATCAGTTTTTGCATTATTTGCTACTTTCCCCTCCATTAATTTGCTTGCTCTATTTTCTTGGACATCTTTTGTTGGATTTTAAAATCACTCATTCCTTTGGCTTACTACGAACTTCTGCCACATTTGATATTGCTTCTTTAAAGTTGATGTTGACCTTAACTCCCTGAGTTAATTATGGTAGTTTGTTCTCTTGCTAGAACCCTTCTTCTAAGTCAAGCTATTTTCTTAAACGTCTGCCATTGTTCATTAACCACCTTTTCTGATGAACTCCTTTCAGTCTAACATGCAGTAAGGTAGTGTAGTAGTCCATGATCTTTCTAATTTCAGTCTGTGAAGGACAAACACAGATGGAATTTCAGTTAGCACTTTGCCACAGGCCTCTTAGGAGCTCCTTTTTACTTTGGCTTGACAGAGAGAAGCCAAATGCAATGAAATCATAGTTCAAACAGTCCTGGACATGTTCTGATTATTCCATTTTAATGTCTCCCAGCCTTTGGGAAAGCTGGAATGCAGATTAAAAGGAAGCTTTCAAAATTCACATTTTACTCAGATCGCAAAGATTTTGAGATTAGGTGGTTGTTAAATGTGTTAGCAGATCCTTACTTCTGGCCTGTCATGCTGCCTGGGTTACGCAGTCTGGACTGTGAAGTGCAATAGTAGAGTTTGCAACTCAATGCAAAATCAGAAAAAAGGCAACTGTTGGTGGTAGATGCAGGACTTGAGTTACACATATAGACTGGAGAAGCCGGGATCATTCTCCTTAAGGTCACATTTGATATAGGTGTACAAAATGATCAGGCTTTGTAAAGAGTTTCAGTTAGCACAAAGGTCAGGAAATAAGATGCAGATTTAAGATAATTGGTAACAGAACCTCAAGGGAAATTAGGAGAAACCTTATTTTAAAAAGGTAAAACAAGTTATAACAATCCAGAGTGTGTTGTATGTAAAGCAAAAGCAAATCCAACTGTAACTTCCAAAAAGGAATTAGATAAATTCTTGATCAGGGAAAACATTTCATGTCTATGGAGGAAAAAAGTGTAGGGACCAATTGAATAACTCTTTCAAAGTGCTGGCATAGGCACGGTAGACTGAATGTCCACCTGTGTTGCATGATTCTATGAATATCCAGAATTAAGTAGCAGGCTATCGGGGAGGGTAAACTATCAATCCTGAACTACAAACCAGTACCTGATTGGGAACATTTTCTCCTGTCTCCCCATCCACTTGAACAGTCCCATGCAGCATTCCACTCCTCTCATTTCTGTCTTTCTCTTCATTCTTCTTGCTCTGCTCTTCTTCTTCTTGCTCATTTTCCTTCTGTCTGTAATTGTAGTCGAAAACCTCTCTCCCAGCGCCCAGATCTATGTCCTGTCTCCACAGGATATCAATCAGATCAATGTCCTAGAACCAGAGAATTCCAACAATGCGATCTGTAGCCAATATTTATTTCAGCAACAAAATAAGATGCATTCATAGTAAGTTGTAAAATAACCAGTCTCACGAGAGCAAGGTAGAAATGTTTCAATTCTCACTAGCAGGCACCAAACTTGATAGTGAATCTAGGAATAAGAGGATGTCATTCAGGCCATCAATCCCATTCCATCATTCAGGTTGATCATGGCTGATCTGTATATCAGTTACCTTTATCCCCAATGGCTCGGAGACCCTTAGCATTCTTGATCTAACAAAAATCCATCAACCCCAGTTTTGAAATTTTCTACTTAACCCCAGCCTCAACAGCTTTTCTGAAGTATTTGAAATCTCTATTATCTTTTGTGTGAAGTACTTCCTGACATCACTCCCAAATGACATAGCTCAAATCTAAAGGACATGGCACTCGTTCTGAACTCATCTCAAGAGAAAAGTAGTTTCTCTATCTACTCCATCCACTCCCTGAATACTCAGTGAGATCACCTCACATTTTCCATTTTCAACAGGAAACAAGGCAAAGTTACACAATTTCTCTTTATAACATACAGGAGCAATTACCCACTGGAATAATTAGATTCTCCATTTACCCTCACCCAGGAATGCGTATGCCATTATGTCTATAGTAGCCATGATGTGGAAGTGCCATAGTTGGCCTGGGGTGGACAAGATCAAAAATCGCACAACACCCAGGTTTTAGTCCAACAAGTTTATCTGAAGACAAAAGCTTTCAGACTCTCACTCCTTCAGGTGTCAGAGAGGTGGCATCGGGCACAGAATTTATAAGCAAAAGATCAAAGGGTCATAGAACTGATGCGGTGTTGAACAAACCCAAGATGGCTGTTAAATCTTTAAAGCAGTCAAAAAGGATTAATATGCAAATTCCTTTCAAGTCACTGCCCCAAGATAACTAAAGGTTTTATTAGTTTCCTCAGTGTATCAGAGGCAGAATCCCAAGCTCAGACAATGCATTTTAGGTGTGAGGCCTTGTTTAGAATCTGGTTGTGTATCAACTTGGAGTCAGGCCAGTTTTATTTCCAAAGTAAGAATTTATAAAACGCCACTGATTGTTTACGATTGGTGTGCTTTTTGAACAAAACAGAACGTATCTGCAATTAAAAATCTGTAAAGGTAAATCCATAGATTCATGCGTGTGCACCAAGTGCGAGACAGGCACAGACAGAGGGTGAGGGCGCAAATGTGTGCTGCACTTCTCTAGCTTCCAACCTAAACATTAAAAAAGCCACCCCCTACAGACAAGCCCTACACATACACAAGATCTGTTCAGATGAGGAGGAACGCAATGGCCACCTGAAGGTGCTGAAGGATGCCCTCAGAATGGGATACGATGTTCAACTCATTGATCGCCAATTCCGACTTGCCACAGTGAAAAACCGTAATGACCTCCTCAGAAGATGGACACGGGGTACAACCAATACGATATCTTTTGTCGTCCAGTACTTGCTGGGAGCAGGAGAAACTACGCCATGTTTTTCACAGCCTTCAACATATCAATGACAACGAGCATCGCGCCAAGATCTTCTCTAGGTCTCCAATTCTCGCCTTCAAACAACTGCCAAACCTTAAACAAACCATGGTTCGCAGCAAACTACCCAGCCTTCAGGGCAACACTGACCACAACACCATATAACCCTGTCATGGCAACCTCTACAAGACATGTCAGATCATCAACATGGACACTACCATTACACACGGGCACACCACCCACCACGTGCATGGCATATACTCATGTGACTTGGTCAACGTTATCTATCTCATACAGTGCAGGCAATGATGTCCTGAGGCATAGTATATTGGCAAAACCATGCAGATACTACAACAACAGATCAATAGGCACGGCGCAACAATCACCAAATAGAGATGTTTCGTCCCAGTGGGGGAACACTTCAGTAGTCCAGGACATTCGGTCTTGGATCTTTGGGTAAACGTCTTCCAGGGTGGACTTCAGGATATACAATGCAGGGTCGCTGAGCAGAGGCTGATAGCCAAGTTTGGTACCCACGAGGACAGCTTCAACTGGGATCTTGGGTTCATTGTACCACAGGTCACTCCACCACAATACACTCTTTCACTCGCAACCCTCGCACGCACACACTCTCACACCCCCCTACCTCCGGCATGCGTGCACACACACACTTCCCTTCGCTTTCCGCCCCTGTTGACATGACCATATTTGATTAATCATGCTTGAAACCAATTGTTGTTTTTCCATTTAAAATTCCAGACAGGAGCTGAGAATGCATTAAGGACAGAAACTTGAGATTAGAGCTATTGCATAGAAGCTCCAATCAGGTACTGCCTAACAGTAATATTCGATTCACTGGCAATTTCCCCCTCCCTCCTGCCCACGTCACATGGTGGTACCACACTGATTTAAATATTGTAGCAGTCAGCTGTAGCAAAGCAGCCGGAACAGTTCCTTCGCTACATCAGTCTCAAGCAGCAAGACAAGCTTGATAAGATGTAGCATACATATACGTTTCTCAAAAGATGCAGTGAGTTCTTCTTTCTATGAAAGCTCCATTTGGCATTCAAGCAGAGCATTGGAAAGGTGCACGTGGAGCAGTAAGGGGAAAGAGGCCAGAGGAAGACAGGAGAAAGACAAGAGGAAAACAAATCTAAAGATTAGATATGCTTGCTCTCAAAATGTAGTCTGTTGAGGTTTCTGCAAAGCATCTCTGGTTGTTTCATGCTCAAAAAGCATAATTTAAATGCAGGTTGTTACTGTATTCTCGGGCGTGCTGTTTTGTTGAGCGGCTAAGATGATGGTCTGCTTGACTCACCTGTCCCTTTAAAGGCATGCCCAGCTGTCGCTGTGGGGAAGGGCTCTCAGTGATAAAGCAGCTGATTTAAATTGGAGGCAAACAGAACTACAACGTTTCTATAATAAGTATAATGTTTTCAGTACAGTGTTTGAAATGCATACTGAAACAGATTATCAAACAGTGTCACAACCCAGTAGGCACCAATGAATTCAGAGAACTCAGTTTATCATTAAATATTAAGCCTTGAAACCAACTTGAAAGTGGAAGAAGAAAGGGTGACTGCTTTAAACAGACTGCCACTGCAGCCCATTGGTCTCAGTCACAAGTTCGGCTGATTAGTGGGTTCAGCCCAGTCTGGAGGTGGACAGATGACACGTTTAATTAAACTTAGAAGCATGGTCAATTTAGAGAAAAATGACTTCTTAAAACAGCAGACTGCTTAGGTCAAGGTGACCTCTGAAAATCAGTGGAGACTTTAAAATGGTCGTACTTAAAAGCTGCAACGGTGAAGTGAACCTAACACTTTTCTTTTTAAATACAAAGTAGTTTGAAAGATTGCAGCAATAAAATTTAAAAACGCAGCTCACACAAACAGCTCCAGATGATCCCTGCTACCTTGTACGACAAGGGCTGCGAGCATAATATTTTAATTTTTAAGTACCCATTTCATCTTCAGCGCTTCCTCCTGTCCTCATGGATAATGGGTCATAGCTATTTTTGACTTTACATAAGCTGTGTGTTATGCTGGCAGCCAGCGCGTTCCAGAATGCTGCAATGGGTTAGGCTGCTGATAATCTCTTAGCACTCCAAGAGTGAGGAGCAGGGGCAGCAGTCTGTCTAGACTGGCCCAATTGTGTTGCAGGGAGTCACATGGTAAATCGGCATAATCCTTGTTTATCTGCCAATTGCTCAGTTGTTATCCAGTATAAATTACCATCCACATTATTCCTTGCAAAGTCCCACACCCATTTTCAAAGGATGAGAATTTGAGTGTAACCTCTAGAGGGGGATTTTAATGAGCTAAAAGAGCAACATGATTTTTCCAGTTCTTATTCTAACCCCACTCCCAAACCATTTCCATTTTTGTGCAATTTTCTGCTTATCATCTTTCTACTCCTTTTGTAACGAAGTTCATCCATTACCAAGATTCTCACTCCAACAAAATAAAATTCGATGTTAATTTAAGAGTTGGATCGACTGAATTGTTCATAGAATCATACAGTACAGAACAGGGCCTTTGGCCTATTGAGTCTGCACTGACAAAAAACTACTCTCAATCTACACTCGCCCCATTTCTGTCTATTTTATCTAGTGTCTCAATCTGTTCCGACAGGCACGCAAGTATCATCATGGAGGTGAACGTGGCGATGCAGGTTAGAGGCCAACTCTTTCGGAGTTGAGGAACAGAGTTAACATTTCATCAACCCAAAATATTAACTCTTAACCTAACCTGATATTTCCAGCATTTTTGTTTTTATTTCCAGATTTTCAGTATCCACAGTTGGGGAGACAATGGCCTAATGGTATTATCGCTGGACTGTTAATCCAGAGACCCAGATAATGTTCTGGAGACCAAGGTTCAAGTCCTGCCACAGCAGATGGTGGAATTTGAATTCAATAAAAAGTATCTGGAATTAAAAATCTAATGATGACCATGAATCCATTGTTGATTGTCAGAAAAAGCCATCTGGTTCACTAATGTCCTTTAGGGAAGGAAACTGCCATCCTTACCTGGTCTGGCCTACATGTGACTCCATACCCTCAGCAATGTGGTTGACTCTGAACTGCCCTCTGGGCAATTAGGGATGGGCAATAAATGCTGCCTAGCCAGCGATGCCTCATCCCATTAATGAATTTAAAAAAGTATTTTGCACTTAATCAAGTCCCTTCCAATTTCAACTGAAGGTGACAGACTCTATCTTAACAGCCAGAAAACAACACAGAAGGAGCCTAGCCTCAGTCTGTGTGGCGTTAGCCAATCACAACCAAGACACTGAAGTGATAAGATACATTGGGGCAGAACTGGGCTCCACCAGACAATTCTACAGACAACCTTAAACTAAAAATATTTTATTTGTGAATGTAACCAGGAAATCATATTTGTTTATTCTTTAATGGGATGTGGGTGTCACTGGCAAGGCCAGCATTCGTCACTCAATCCCAGCTCCCCTTGAATTGATTGTGGCCTACAG